GAATTTTCAAACTATCAGCAAACAGGAAGTAACTGCACTGGAGATTTTAAAATTTCTTATATGTTACAATTCCACATTGTCAGCTCAACCAAATATTCCCTTTCATAGAAGCCAAGAAAGAAAACTTTGATGAAAGTTTTCTAGCCAAGGTCTTTTCGACAGAATGATTGAACAACATTGGGGTAGAGCAGTTACAAGATCTGCTCTTGAAGTTTATGAAGAAGATAAATACTCAACTTATGATTGGTTGAATCTTTGGGTTTACTACTAGTCGGAAGCTAATACTGTTGAGGGATTTTTGCAGGAGTTGTTGTCCTTGGACTGAAAATTTAGGGTTTCCAAACTTTTTTATGTAATACTTGAATCAATATATCAGATATTTGGTGTATAATCTGCAGTTTTGACAATACCCTCATATTTAAATGAATATTCAAACTCAATTAATGCCAAGTTGGAAATTCCCAACTACATCAATTACAACTTTGTGCTTGTTCCATCCATATTATTAGTACATTTTTGTCGAGCCTTCGACTTTTGTCTAAAAAGCGAGACATAGCTATCCTACATTCCATTGGCGTCGTCATCGTCATCAGAGGCATCCACAAATATTCACTCTGTGGTTAAAGTTTTTGAAATTTTAACTTTCTTAAACTATCCTGGATTTCTACCAAACTTGGGACAGAGGCTTGTTTATGATCATAAGATAGTATCCAGAAGTAAATTTTGTAAAAAAAAAAAATCCTGTTTTTCCGTATTTTACTTATAAATGGACTTAGTTTTTCTGCCAGTTAACATTACATTCACTCTGTGGTTAAAGTTTTTAAAATTTTAAACTATCCTGGATTTGTACCAAACTTGGACAGAAGTTTGTTTATGATCATAAGATAGTATCCAGAAGTAAATTTTGTAAAAAAAAAAATCCTGTTTTTCCGTATTTTACAAGTTTATAAATGGACTTAGTTTTTCTGCCAGTTAACATTACATTCACTCTGTGGCTAATGTTTTTAAAATTTTAATAACTTTCTTAAACTATCCAGGAATTTTACCAAACTTGGACAGAAGCTTGTTTATGATCAAAAGCTAGTATCTAGAAGGAAATTTTGTAAAAATTTATTTCCTGTTTTTCTGTATATTACTTATAAATGGACTTAGTTTTTCTTCCAGTTAACATTATATACAGTCTGCAGTTAAATTTTTAAAACATTTATTAGATTCATAAACCATCCTGGATTTTCACCAAATTTGGACAGAAGCTTCTTACAATCAAAAGATAGTATCAAGAGGAAAATTTTTAATAATTTTTTCCCCATTTTTGTTGACATAGCGATCCTACATTCCGTCGTCGTCTGAATTAAGGGATAAATCATCAAACAATGTAAAAATTATCTTCTTTACCATTTGTTCATTCAATAAATTTATGTTTCAGCTCTTTTATAAATCTATAGATTTGATTGCATACTGTATTCATTTTTACGAGCATAACTTTTTTCATACATTTCAAACGTTTTATTTCATTAAGTGTAAATCTATTATGTGCATTCCCCTATCACACTGAAAACATAGATAACAGCAAAAATAGGCGAGACACTGGGTTCCGCGGAACCCTTACAAATTTTTTAAATGATATGAGCAAATTATCCCTAATACGGATAAATCAGCATGAGCTATACTGATTTTGTTGCCCTGTTGATATAAATCATGAGTGAATATTGCCTTTCGGACCGGTCCAATACGGGGCGTTCACTTCCGGTTTCAATTTGTTTACACCATATTTAACTTTGGACACATAGTTATGCATAAGATAAATTTTTATCCTATTTTAAAAAATTAAAATAACATAAAAAAAGTTTAAATGATGTTCCGTGTTATGTAACGATTTGAAACGGAAATATTTCACCACATCACAACTGGTAGGGGACATTGTATTGCATATGCACTCCCCTCAGAATTCTTATTTTATTTTCATGCCCTCGCCGTAGCAAAGGGGGCATAAAGTTTTTCCCTTGTCTGTCTGTATGTACGTACGAACGTACGTACGTATGTCCCAAAATTGGTTTCTGTTCTCTAACTTGAGTTTGCCTCAACCAAATGTTATGAAACTTATACACAATGCTTATTACCACAAAACACAGATCAAGTTTGAATTTTGGTGGCATCACTTTAACCGTTCTAGAGTTATGCCCCTTTATAAGTGGAAAAATTGCAAAATTTTTAGTTTCCATTCTCTAACTTAAGTTTGCTTCAACCAAATGATATGAAACTTATACACAATGCTTATTACCACCAAATACAGATCAAGTTTGAATTTTGGTAGCATCACTCTAACTGTGCTAGAGTTACGCCCCTTTGTAAATGGAAAAATTACAAAATTTTTAGTTTCCATTCTCTAACTTAAGTTTGCCTCAACCAAATGTTATGAAACTTATACACAATGCTGATTACCACCAAATACAGATCAAGTTTGAATTTTGGTAGGGTCACTCTAACCAGTCTAGAGTTATGCCCTTTATAAATGGAAAAATTACAAAATTTTTAGTTTCTGTTCTCCAACTTAAGTTTGCCTCAATCAAATGTTATGAAACTTATACACAATGCTTATTACCACAAAACACAGATCAAGTTTGAATTTTGGTGTTGTCACTTTAACGGTTCTAGAGTTATGTCCTTTATAAATGGAAAAATTGCAAAATTTTTAGTTTCAGTTCTCTAACTTAAGTTTGCCTCAACCAAATGTAATGAAACTTATACAGAATACTTATAACTACAAAATACAGATCAAGATTGAATTTTTGTTGCGTCACTCTAACCGTTCTAGAGTTATGCTCCTTCATAAATGGCAAAATTGCAAAATTTTTAGTTTTCCTTCTCTAACTTAAGTTTGCCTCAGCCAAATGTTATGAAACTTATACACAATGCTTATTACCACAAAACACAGATCAAGTTTGAATTTTGGTGTTGTCACTGTAACTGTTCTAGAGTTATGCCCTTTATAAATGGAAAAATTGCAAAATTTTTAGTTTCCGTTCTCTACCTTTAGTTTGCTTCGACCAAACGTTATGAAACTTATACACAATGCTTATTACCACAAAACACAGATGAAGATTGAATTTTGGTAGTGTCACTCTAACTGTTCTAGAGTTATGCCCCTTTATAAATGGAAAAATTGCAAAATTTTTAGTTTCCATTCTCTAACTTAAGTTTGCCTCAACCAAATGTTATGAAACTTATACACAATGCTGATTACCATCAAATACAGATCAAGTTTGAATTTTAGTAGGGTCACTCTAACCAGTCTAGAGTTATGCCCCTTTATAAATGGAAAAATTACAAAATTTTTAGTTTCTGTTCTCCAACTTAAGTTTGCTTCAACCAAATGTTATGAAACTTATACACAATGCTTATTACCACAAAACACAGATCAAGTATGAATTTTGGTGTTGTCACTTTAACGGTTCTAGAGTTATGTCCTTTATAAATGGAAAAATTGCAAAATTTTTAGTTTCAGTTCTCTAACTTAGTTTGCCTCAACCAAATGTAATGAAACTTATACAGAATACTTATTACTACAAAATACAGATCAAGATTGAATATTTGTTGCGTCACTCTAACCGTTCTAGAGTTATGCTCCTTCATAAATGGCAAAATTGCAAAATTTTTAGTTTTCCTTCTCTAAAGTTTGCCTCAGCCAAATGTTATGAAACTTATACACAATGCTTATTACCACAAAACACAGATCAAGTTTGAATTTTGGTGTTGTCACTGTAACTGTTCTAGAGTTATGCCCTTTATAAATGGAAAAATTGCAAAATTTTTAGTTTCCGTTCTCTAACTTTAGTTTGCTTCAACCAAATGTTATGAAACTTATACACAATGCTTATTACCACAAAACACAGATGAAGATTGAATTTTGGTAGCGTCACTCTAACTGTTCTAGATTTATGCCCCTTTATAAATGGAAAAATTGCAAAATTTTTAGTTTCCATTCTCTAACTTAAGTTTGCCTCAACCAAATGTTATGAAACTTATACACAATGCTGATTACCTCCAAATACAGATCAAGTTTGAATTTTGGTAGGGTCACTCTAACCAGTCTAGAGTTATGCCCCTTTATAAATGGAAAAATTAAAAAAATTTTAGTTTCTGTTCTCCAACTTAAGTTTGCCTCAACCAAATGTAATGAAACTTATACAGAATACTTATTACGACAAAATACAGATCAAGATTGAATTTTTGTTGCGTCACTCTAACCGTTCTAGAGTTATGCTCCTTCATAAATGGCAAAATTGCAAAATTTTTAGTTTTCCTTCTCTAACTTAAGTTCGCCTCAGCCAAATGTTATGAAACTTATACACAATGCTTATTACCACCAAATAGATCAAGTTTGAATTTTGGTAGGGTCACTCTAACCAGTCTAGAGTAATGCCCCTTTATAAATGGAAAAATTACAAAATTTTTAGCTTCCGTTCTCTAACTTAGTTTGCCTCAACCAAATTTTATGAAACATATACACAATGCTTATTACCACAAAATAAAGAACAAGTTTGAATTTTGGTGGGGTCACTTTAACCATTCTCTAGTTATGCCCCTTTATAAATGGAAAAATTGCAAAATTTTTAGTTTCCATTCTCTAACTTAAGTTGCCTCAACCAAATGTTATGAAACTTATACACAATGCTTTTTACCACAAAACACAGATCAAGTTGAATTTTGGTGGCGTCACTTTAATCATTATCGAGTTATGCCCTTTATAAATCAAAAAATTGCATAATTTTTAGTTTCCATTCTGTAACTTAAGTTTGCCCCAACCAAACATTATAAAACCTATACAGAATACTTATTACCTTAAAACTCAGATCAAGTACAAATTTGGGTTGGTCATTTTTATCGTTCTTGAGTTGTGTCCCTTTATAATGTTGTATGCAAGCGGGGGCATCATTTGTGTCCATGGGGACACATTCTCCATTTATTTTTAAATATTTATAAAAAAAATCTATTTGCAGATGGCTGATCATTTTTGTAACAGTGTAGGAATTTTACAACAGTATTCACCACCAAGTCAATTCGCTGGATTTGAGAAACAAAAACAGTCTCCATCAGACCCTCCACAAGAAGGTATGCTGAAGTAATTAAAAATGTAAAGGAACTGCCCTTTTCCTCTCCACCTTGCCACTTTAAAATCTGTCAAATGAAAGCAAAAAGACAGACACAATTTCCCTTAAATTGTTAGTCAATAGTTTGTCTTGAAATTCAGATGATATTTCTTTCTTTTAAGGACTAAGCATTTAGTTTAAAAAATAGAATTTAACTGTCCTTTTTTTACACTGAGCACAATAGGATATATGCAATGAATTTGATACAGTTCAATTTGAAAATAAAGATGGATGGTTTAGGTATTTCTGTCTTATCCTAACTCATCTTCATCTGATGACAATTGTGATTATTTTAGAAGGAAAACTGCCTACAGTGCTGTAGATGTAGCTCCTGACTGTGACATGAAACTAATTTTAGATTAGCATTTTTCTTTTTATGAAATAAGCTAGATGAAACAAATACTTAATTCTATACTTTTTACTATTTTTGTTGAGCCTGCGACTTCTGTCGCAGAAAGCGAGACATAGGGATAGTGATCAGGCAGCGGTGGCCACGGCGGTGTTAACAACATTCTTAGAAGCTTAATATTCCAGAAGGTAGAAGACCTTGATCCTTCATACTTTGTATACTGTTTGCAATAGGTCAACTATATTTTGTGAATGAAAATATTTTACGATGTACATGTCAGTCGGACAGGTTTTATTTGACCTTGACCTCATTTTTATGGTTCATTGCTCAATGTTTGGTCTGTTTTTGTATACTATAAGCAATAGGTCAACTATATTTGGTGTATGGAATGATTTTACGGTATACATTTATTTCTGGCTTGGTTTATCTGACCTTGACCTCATTTTCTTTGATCATGTTAAGTTTATGTGATACTTGTAGTAAAACTTTATATTCAGGACTAACAGCATAAAATCAATGGTCAGTAAAGCAGGCGAGACATTTCAGGGTGTACACTCTTGTTTTATTATGATAAAGGGCAAAAACTGGATTAAAAAAAAACATTTCTGTGATGAATTTTTTTGGACCCTAAAATATTTTCTTTAAATGTTGTTGGAAGCCTCGATAAAAGTTAAGTAAAACTATTTCTAGGTTATAAAGAAACTTGAATATGAAATATATTGTATGAAAAATAAGCTATGGATCTTAAACATCTATAATAGCCAGATTTGCTTTTGTGCTAAATGCCTTGAAGTGTAGAAACGGTTCAGTTGTCAATTATCAAATGAGTAGTGTTCAAAGAGTTTGCTATGATAAATTTGAAATAATGCCAAATTAGTCCTTTACCACTAATTATATGTACCAAGCTTTAGATATAGCTCACAACAAAAAGAACCAGTGTGCCAAATTATAAAACTCGGAGCTTAAAAAGAAAAAAAACACAGTAAAACTAGCATGGTGAAATGTGCACTGTAAAACACTTGCCATGAGGGTTCCCATATTTAAGTTAAAGCTAAGAAGGAATTTTTGGGCCTTTGGCCAGTGTAATAAATGTCTTGGTATATGTATTGGTTCATTACAAGAATATCCTGTTTTTACTTGATCTGTGCCCATATTATAATAAAACTCATTGTGAGACCTTTCTCAGAAAATTTTTATTACTTATCTGTTTCTTTTTATGCCTAGACTGATATATTGTATATATATTTAACAGATTATCCACAAGTATTTGCCAAACTGATAGCAAGAACTGCAGGTGATGTGGATCTACTAATAGATTCATTACCTAGTGAAGAATCCTCTTTAGAGTTACAGGTAGGGACTAACAGACAGGTGATGTGGATCTACTAATAGATTCATTACCTAGTGAAGAATTCTCTTTAGAGTTACAGGTAGGGATTTACAGACAGGTGATGTGGATCTACTAATAGATTCATTACCTAGTGAAGAATCCTCTTTAGAGTTACAGGTAGGGATTTAAAGACAGGTGATGTGGATCTACTAATAGATTCATTACCTAGTGAAGAATCCTCTTTAGAGTAACAGGTAGGGATTTAAAGACAGGTGATGTGGATCTACTAATATATTCATTACCTAGTGAAGAATCCACTGTAGAGTTACAGGTAGGGATCTACAGACAGGTGATGTGGATCTACTAATAGATTCATTACGTAGTGAAGAATCCTCTTTAGAGTTACAGGTAGGGATCTACAGACAGGTGATGTTGATCTACTAATAGATTCATTACCTAGTGAAGAATCCTCTTTAGAGTTACAGGTAGGGACTTACAGACCGGTGATGTTGATCTACTAATAGATTCATTACCTAGTGAAGAATCCTCTTTAGAGTTACTGGTAGGAACTTACAGACAGGTGATGTTGATCTACTAATAGATTTGTTACCAAATGAAGAATCCACTTTAGAGTTACAGGTAGGGATGTTCAGACACAGATGATGTGAATCTACTAATAGATTCATTACCTAGTGAAGAATCCTCTTTAGAGTTACAGTTAGGAATTTACAGACAGGTGATGTAGATCTACTAATAGATTCATTACCTAGTCAAGAATCCTCTTTAGAGTTACAGGTAGGGATGTACAAATACAGATGATGTGGATCTACTAATAGATTCATTACCTAGTGAAGAATCCTCTTTAGAGTTACAGGTAGGGATTTACAGACAGGTGATGTGGATCTACTAATAGATTCATTACCTAGTGAAGAATTCTCTTTAGAGTTACAGGTAGGGATTTACAGACAGGTGATGTGGATCTACTAATAGATTCATTACCTAGTGAAGAATCCTCTTTAGAGTTACAGGTAGGGACTTACAGACAGGTGATGTGGATCTACTAATAGATTCATTACCTAGTGAAGAATCCTCTAGAGTTACAGGTAGGGATTTACAGACAGGTGATGTGGATCTACTTATAGATTCATTACCTAGTGAAGAATCCTCTCTAGAGTTACAGGTAGGGACTTACAGACAGGTGATGTGGATCTACTAATATATTCATTACCTAGTGAGAATCCTCTTTAGAGTTACAGGTAGGGATCTACAGACAGGTGATGTGGATCTACTAATAGATTCATTACCTAGTGAAGAATCAACTTTAGAGTTACAGGTAGGGACTTACAGACAGGTGATGTTGAACTTCTAATAGATTCATTACCTAGTGAAGAATCCTCTTTAGAGTTACAGGTAGGGACTTACAGACAGGTGATGTTAATCTACTAATATATTCATTACCTAGTGAAGAATCCTCTTTAGAGTTACAGGTAGGGACTTACAGACAGGTGATGTTGATCTACTAATAGATTCGTTACCTAGTGAAGAATCCTCTTTAGAGTTACAGGTAGGGATTTACAGACAGATCCTCAAGCAAACTCAAAAGGAACATGCTTTATTAATAGCTCTTATTATTACATCGTATACAACTAAATTATTACTGGTATACCTAATACTAGGGTTGGGTTTGCTTTCAGTTTTTGACAATATCTCGCACACAATCCATTTTGATTGTGAGGTCAACATCAACCAGGACAAGGAAGCCCATACTAAGAATAAGAATTTTGTGTTAGAATGATCAATTTGGATTGGAACAAATCAAAGATATGTGGTCACTGTGTGTCTTCACAGTTTATATAAATCTTTCTCTCAATGATAATGATAAATTTATCCTTTAGTCAGATTGGAACAAGACTTGCAATGAGGATGAATTGTGATATTTGAGACACCACTTTTTATACGACCGCAAAATTTTTGCGGTCGTATATTGGTATGACGTTGGCATCGTCGTCGTCGTCGTCCGAAGACATTTGGTTTTCGCACTATAACTTTAGTATAAGTCAATAGAAATCTATGAAATTTAAACACAAGGTTTAAGACCACAAAAGGAAGGTTCAGATTGATTTTGGGAGTTTTGGTCCCTACAGTTTAGGAATTAGGGGCCAAAAAAGGGCCCAATAAGCATTATTCTTGGTTTTCGCACAATAACTCTAGTATAAGTGAATAGAAATCTATGAAATTTAACACAAGGTTTATGACCACAAAAGGAAGGTTGGGATTGATTTTGGGAGTTTTGGTCCCAACAGTTTAGGAATTAGGGGCTAAAAAAGGGCCAAAATAAGCATTTTTCTTGGTTTTTGCACAATAACTTTAGAATAAGTTAATAGAAATCTATGAAATTTAAACACAAGGTTTATGACCACAAAAGGAAGGTTTGGATTGATTTTGGAAGTTTTGGTCCCAACAGTTTAGGAATTAGGGGCCAAAAGGGTCCAAAATTAAACTTTGTTTGATTTCATCAAAAGTTGAACTATTGAGGTTCTTTGATATGCCAAATCTAACCGTGTATTTAGATTCTTAATTTTTGGTCCCATTTTCAAATTGGTCTACATTAAGGTGCAAAGGGTCCAAAATTAAACTGAGTTTGATTTTAACAAAAATTGAATTCTTGGGGTTCTTTGATATGCTGAATCTAAACATGTACTTAGTTTTTTTATTATGGGCCCAGTTTTCAAGTTGGTCCAAATTGTGGTCCAAAATTAAACTTTGTTTGATTTCAACAAAAATTGAATATATTGGGTTCTTCGATATGCTGAATCTAACCATGTATTTCGATTTTTGATATTTGGGCCCGATTATCAAATTGGTCCACATTGAGGTTTAAAGGGTCCAAAATTGAACTTTATTTGATTTCATCAAAAATTGAATTCTTGGTGTTCTTTGATATGCTGAATCTAACCATGTATTTAGATTTTGGATATTGGAATACCACAAAGGGATGGTAAGAATTGTCTTTGGGAGTTATGGCTCAAACCGTTAAGGAATAAGGTGCAAAAAAGGGGGGAAAAGGGTTTCCAGGTTAATGGACAATTACTTAAGTACAAAACATAATTTAAAAGGCAGTGTAAAGTTGGTAATTGAAACTCATTTGAATATCTCACCTAAACTGCTTTTAAATTATGTATATTGGAAATTTGCCAAAAACTTTATTATTAATAAATTCCATTGGAAATTTGCCAATAACTTTAGTTTAATGAACTTCATTGGAAATTTGCCAATATAAAATGTTGCTGAGGAAGCTTTTTTGTTTATCTCACCTAAACTGCTTTTAAATTATGTATATTGGAAATTTGCCAAAAACTGTATTATTAATAAATTACATTGGAAATTTGCCAATAACTTTAGTTTAATAAACTTCATTGCATTTTTTCTAGTTTCCAGACAATAACTTGTGTGTAAGTGTATGGATCTGTCTAAAATTGTACTACAAGGTTCCATACCACAAAGGGAAGGCTGGGATTGAGTTTGGGGGTAATAACTCCAAGGGGGGGAGGGGGATTTTTTTTTCCAATTTTTTGGGGTTCATATTTTTTTTCTTTAAAGTTTTTGTAATCTTCAATTGCACAGTATTGCGCAATAGCAAGAATCTTCAATTGCACAGTATTGCGCAATTTCACAGTATTGTACAATAGCACAATATTGGGCAATAGCAAGAAATCTTCAATTGCACAGTATTGCGCAATAGCAAGAAATCTTTAATTGCACAGTATTGCGCAATAGCACAGTATTGCGCAACAACACAGTATTGCGCAATAGCACAGTATTGCGCAATAACAAGAAATCTTCAATTACACAGTATTGCGCAATAACAAGAAATCTTCAATTACACAGTATTGCGCAATAACAAGAAATCTTCAATTACACAGTATTGCCCAATAACAAGAAATCTTCAATTACACAGTATTGCGCAATAGCAAGAAATCTGCAATTGCACAGTATTGCGCAATAGCAAGAAATCTTCAATTGCACAGTATTGTGCAATAGCAAGAAATCTTCAATCGAAAATAAATACAAATCTTTTAACCAATTTCAATGGGATTAATTTAAAGTCTTTAATTTTTGGGGGTTCTTACCTTGTATTACTTTTTTGGATATTGGGCCCCATTTTTAAATTGGTCTACATTGAGGTCAAAAGGGTCCAAAATTAAACTTTGTTTGATTTCATCAAAAACTGAATTATTGCGGCTGTATGATATGCTGAATATTATTGTGCATTTAGATTTTTTATTTTGGGCCCTGTTTTCAAACTAGTCCATATTAAGGTTTGAAGGATCCAAAATTAAATTTTTGGTGTTTTTTTATATGCTGAATCTAACCATGTTGTTAGATTTTGGATATTAGACCATTCTAGGTAAAATGAATGTCCCATTTCAAATTTTTAAGCTCTTTGACCACATTTATTTTGTGTCAGAAACCTATATTATGTCAAAAATTTGATCACAATCCAAATTCAGACAGTATCAAGCTTGAATATTGTGTCCAAACTTGCCCTAACTGTTCAAGGTTCGACCTCTGTGGTCGTATCAGGCTGCGCTCTGCGAAGCATTTTATTTTGTGGTTGTTTTTAATTGGTTTTTTTTGTTAAATGTTAGTACCTAGATATAGACAAGAAAATTGAAGGCAGTTTTGACAATAAACTCACCATGAAAATAAGTACAGTTATGGCATTTCCTTGTCAAATATTGTTCTACCTTTTGTCATCAACTCCTTGGATGAGTTAAATTACCATTACATTTTGCTTCTGTATCGCCTCTTCTGAGGAGGACAGCTTTGTTACTGTACTGTTTAGCAGTTGCTCCAAGAAAGAGCTGGATATTATGCGAGCTTGCAGCCAAAAATCTTTTTATAGGAAAGAAAAATTAATAATTAGACTAAATCTTTTCCAGTTTTGAAGCAGGTGCTTTAATGAGTGTTACTTAGGTTTTTAGATTATATGAAAAGCATTAAATTGAAGGGTCCATAGATTATAAAACATGCTATGGAAACAGTAAATGACTGCTGAGAAATCATAAATTTGTTTTTGATTGATTGTAGTCATTTGCATTTACCATTTCAGTTGGCCAGCTTAAAGAAACTGGAAAATGAAAATCAAGAATCTGCAAAGCATTTGGAAGACATTGTCAGTAAAGGAGAGACATTACTGAGTCAAATACAGGAAGTTTTACATGATATTGCTGAATGTCAGCTTCGATGTCAAGCTTTAGAATCCAATACTTGATAATAGTATGAAAATCTTTTTGTGCAATGTGTAAAAAAAAACAGATAAACTGCTTCCTGATGCATATTAGAATAACAACTTACATGTTTTGTAAAAACAGATGTGCTGGGACGGTTTTGATTTTCTTGCAACAATGGCTACAGGAGCAAGACGAACTCTGCAGAAAGAAACACCATTTTCTGTATATTGCTGTACATGTATAATAATCTTGTCAGAAATAAATAATCATATTTCAGAATTTGCTTCCTACATCTTCTCATTAGGGCTTTTCCAGAAAATACTATGTGAATACGAAATACTTTATTAAAACAGTTATTTTGTTCAGCTAAGAAAAGATAATGATATATTCAAATTTTATAATGCTAGGATCAAATAACAATATGTTGAATTGAAGTCAGATAGTATTTTTTATGATAAATTGAAAGAGCATAATGAAGCTACAGCATGAGAATATAACGTGAATTGAAATCACCATTTTATGGAAAAAAGTAAGAGACAATATCTCATAAATTTGTTTCATTCTTGTGGTCAAAATCCGAAAGTTGATACTAATGAAATTTCAAATCAAAGCATCTAAAAAATATAAGATATTGGTAAAAATATACATTTATCCTTAACTTTTAATCCTGCTCCTGGTTAGGTGTGTATGACACTGAACTTGATTGACAAGGATTGCCAGAACAATTGTTTTTTTTCCTAATACTCTGACTTCCTTCACCAGAAAAAAAAACTGAAGGTCGCTTAAAGTGGCATTGAGCACCAACAAATAAGCAAGCACATATTCATAAAACAACAATATTATATAGTGCATAACAATTTACATGTTTTTTTTCACACATTAAGCATTGTAGCAGTTAATTTTTGTAAAGAGTGTCACCTTTAAAATTATAACATGGTCTTTGTGTATCATAAATTCAGTGGCAATTGGTCCTTTTGTTGTAACAGTTCTAAGTTCTTTTTCTGTTAAGATACATTTACATAGAAAGAAATTCAACGGAACATTTATATTGGCACAAGTTTAGCATTTTGACTTGAAAATATTTGCAGTCGTATAATAGTATGGCGATGTAATTGTCTGCGTCGTAGTCTGAAGACATTTGGTTTCCAGACAATAACTTGAGTATAAGTATATGGATCTCTATGAAATTGTACCATGGTATTTAGATTTTGGATTTTGGGCCCTGCTTATAAATTAATCCACATTAAGGTCCAAAGGGTCAAAAATTAAACTTTGTTTGATTTCAGCAAAACATGAATTCTTGGGGTTCTTTGATATGCTGAATCTAACTGTATTTAGATTTTGGATTTTGGGCCTGTTTTTCAAATTGGTCCACATTAAGGTCCAAAGGGTCCAAAATTCAACTTTGTTTGATTAACAAAAAATGAATTCAAGGGTTCTTTGATATGCTGAATCTAAACATGTATATAGACTTTTGATTTTGAGCCCAGTTTTCAAGTTGGTCCAAAATTAAACTTTGTTTGATTTCAACAAAAGTTGAATATATGGGGGGTTCTTTGATATGAATCTAACCGTGTATTTAGATTTTGGATATTGAACCATAATGGGTAAATATCCAATTTCAAATTTTTAAGTTCTTAGACCACATTCATTCTGTGTCGGGAACCTATGCCATGTCAAATATTTAATCACAACCAAATTCAGAGCTGTACATGTATTGCACAATTAAAAGAAATGATACGATTCATAGTTGAAAATAGATATAGCATCAAATTCAAATTTTAGAGAAGAAATTATGTATAAATATAGTTTGAAATTTACTAGTTTATTATTAGATATTTCGAAAAATAATTAACGGTAAATTTTATAGATTTTTTAAAGACATTGTATAAATGATGAATGATATTTTGGAAATTGTTTTTTTTTTCATTTTTTTTTGTAAATTTTTTGAAGAACTTCCTGGAAGGTTTGTTTGTGATTCTGTATAAATTAATTTTCAGAATGAGGGAGGGAACCCCTTTTTGATGTAGCAAACCCTTCAAAAAGTTTAATTTCAAATTTTTCAGTTCTTTGACCACATTCATTCTGTGGCAGAAACCTATGCTGTGTCAAGTATTTAATCACAATCCAAATTCATAGCTGTTTCAAGCTTGAATGTAGTGTCCATACTTGCCCTCTGCAGTCATATCAAGCTGTGCCCAGTGGAGCATTTTATTGGTTGTTATCTTGAAAACTATTAAGGATAAAGAGAAATTTTAAGCAGCAAAAAAGTTTAGCAAAGTAAAATCTACCTATAAGTCTAAGAATGAAATTCACCAATTAATCCCTTATAGGAGTTATTATACGACTGCAAAAAAATTTTGCGGTCATATATTGGAATCACGTCGTCATAGTCAGCGTCATCCGAAGACATTTGGTTTCCGGACAATTACTTTAGTTTAAGTGTATGGATCTCTATGAAATTTAACCAAAAGGTTCAATACCACAAAAGGAAGGTTGGTATTGTTTTTGGGGGTGATGGTCCCAACCATTTAGGAATTAAGGGCCAAAACAAGCATTTTTCTAGTTTCAGGACAATAACTTGTATTTTCAATTTTTGATTGCTCTGAAATTGTACCACAAGGTTCAATACTACAAGTAGAAGGTTGGGATCCATTTTGGGGGTAATTGCCCAAACCGTTCAGGAATTAGGGGCCAAAAAGGGTCTAAAACAAGCATTTTTCTAGTTTTCAGACAATAACTTGTGTTTAGGTGTATGGATGTCTCTTAATTTGTACCACATTTTACAAAACGAAAATTTCTTCAAAATTATTTTTTTGGAGGAGGGGGGGAGAATTCTCTTCAAATTTTTTTTTTTTTTGGAGGGGGTAAAAAAAATATTTTGGGGGGGGGTCAATTTTTTTTTCCTCAAGATTTAAGAAATTGTCAATTTTCCAAAGAAAAACATTGGGGGTCACAATTTATTTTTGCTAATTCTTTGTATATAGTCTGAAAACAGATTTACTAAGTATTGCGCAACAGCACAGTGTATTGCACAACAGCAAGAAATCTTCAATTGAATATAAATTCAAATCAAACAACCAATTTCAAGTTCTTTGACACATTTATTCTGTGTCAGAAACCTATAATGTTTGAAATATTCAATTACAATCCTTATTCAGACCTGTATCAAGCTTGAATATTGTGTCCATTTTTGCCCAAACTGTTCAGGGTTGGACCGAAGCAGTTTATTGGCCTTAAAAGACAATTTGTATTAATTTTTTTAATTTTTTTCAAGAAACTATTGTCAATTTATTTCTTGTAGGAGTTATTGTCCCTTAAAGATGATTTTTAATCCCCAACCGACGAAGTCGAAGGGGACTTGAGGTTTGCACTCTGTCTTGTCTGTCCATCCGTCAGTCAGGCAAATCAAGTTTTCCACACTTTTTTTCTTCGTGCTTGAAGATATTGATCTGATATTTGGTATATAGTTTTATCATGACAAGTTACAGATCAAGATTGTATTTTGTTCCGGTCTGATGATTTTGTCCAGAGTTATGGTCCTTGGACTAAAAAAATTCACTCAAATAATCAGTTTTCCGCACTTTTTTTCATCATGCTTAAAGATATTGATTTGATAACTGGTATATAGTTTTATCACGACAAGTTACAAATAAAGTTCGAATTTTGTACTGGTCCTATGATTTTGTGCAGAGTTATGGTCCTTGGACTTAAAAAATTCACCCTAATAATCAGTTTTCTGCCCTTTTTTATCATGCTTGAAGATATTGATTTGAAAATTGGTATATAGTTTATCATGACAAGTTACAGACCAAGTTCGAATTTTGTTCCGGTCTGATGATTTTGTGCAGAGTTATGGTCCTTGGACTTGAAAAAATTCACTCAAATAATCATTTTCAACATTTTTTTTTCGTCATGCTTATAGATATTGACTTAATATTTGTTATATAGGTTACACCATGACAAGTTATAGATCATAGTAGCATTTTGTTCCTGTACAATGAATTTTTAACCGGTAGAGGACTATGTATTGCCATGTAATACTCTCAGAATGCTTGTCCTATTTATCTTTAGTTTTTTCCCAGAAACAGCAAACAGAAAAAATTTTCAGCAAAGTAAGGCCTACAAATAACTCAAATGACCGAATATGTCAATTGATTCCTTATGGGAGTTATTGCCCTCGAAAGACTATTTTTATTAAATTGATAAGTTTTTTTCCCAGAAACTGCGATAGACAGAAACTTCAAACAGCAAAAATGTTCAGCAAAGTAAGACTGACAAATAAGTCAAAATGACCAAAATTGTCAATTGATCCCATATAGGAGTTATTGCCCTTGAAAGATGATTTCTACCATTTTTTAATTATTTTTTTTTGCAGAAACTATAATAGATAGAGAGCAGAATATTTAAAGTCACATTTAAACATTAAACAATAATCATTGTTGCAAGATCTACACAAAATATTCCAGGTGAGCGATTCAGCCTATTATTTTGAAAAGTATAATAGATAGAAACTTTTAAAAGCCTTAATGATCAGCCAGACAAGACATATACAAATAAGTCAAAATAGCTGAATTCGTCAGACCACTCCGTATTGGAGTTATTGTCCTTTAATTAATAGGTTTTGCCTATTATCTTGAAAACTATAAAAGATAGACAAAAATGATCAGCAAGACAAGATCTACAAATAAGTCAAATTTTGCTGAAATCGTTAGTAGACTCTTTATAGGAGTGATTGCTCTTAAATGACTATTTTTTACCCTTTTTGTGTATTGGGCAAAAGCTAAAGAAGACAAGAGAGAAACATTAAACAAAAAAACGATCATCAATGCAAGATCAGAAAAGGAGATTTTTGTTTTGAATTCTGTTCTAGTTTACAACGTTGGAGAGCGTCAATTGTTGAAGATGCACATAGACCTAGCTTATATTTCATAGCTACTATTTTATAATGCATACATACAATATTTTCATGTCCGTGAAACTATGTCATCAAATCAGTTCCCCGTTCGCATTGATTTTTGTTTGAATCAAATAAAAGAATGAATTCAATTCTTTATTGTATGCTCACTTACACTTACATACCCTTTGCATTCCATTTATCGAATTTGAATGGAGCAGGGATGGTCAATGAGGGTATGATGTTGTTGATGGCGGATCTTTGGTAGAATGCTACATTTATTCACAACTTTTTAAGACTTTGTCCCTTTTAGGGCTCGCATATTTTACAGGCACCTGTCTATCGGTCAATCCCATATGTTTATTTCTAGGTGTACTTTTGA